GAAATTGAAAGATGCAACTACAAAGATGATTTCAAGATCCATATCTCTTATGAAAGAATTTTTACATTTGAAGTTTGTATAAAAGAGTTATAGAGTGTTGAAGATAGCACATATAATTCAAAGGCAATAAGATAGTTGTTTTATTGATAGTAATGGTTGGAGCCATATTTTAAATTTTTGGATAAATTTTTTATTCAAAATTTCTAAAAATGTATGTTATTAGGTTAAAAAGTGATATATCAAAATTTAATAATATTCAAGTACTTAATTTGTGAGATATGAAGAAAATTACACATAGGTATATGTAAGTAAGGATTTGAAGCTATTGTTAGGATTTTTGGTAATATTTCAAGATTTATAATGAATTTGCAATTGAAATTTGTTGTAGTAGTTGTTAAAAGTACATTAGTACTTTATGTAAAATTTTGGTTTGTTTGGATAGTCCGAACATGAGATATGAGCTATTAAAATTTGAAAAAAATCCACCTTAAGGATATACAAGTTTTTATAATATTTTTATCACATTTTTGGTGATCTTTCGTACTTAAGGCTTATGTATAGATGTAATTGTCCCTCTATGGACAATTTTATATATAAACTTGATGATTTTTTAAATCTTGAGGCTTGTTTGAGTAATAAGTGATATGGAGAAGCCTAACGCTTTCTTAAGGCAAATTCTCTCTATCCCAATAATGTTGAGGTGCACTTATGCAACTCTCATATTGAAATTCAAAAAATCAATCATCACACTTCATAACAAAGTCAATTACTTGATTCAATGTTTGAAGATTAAGTAAGTTGAGCATCAATTATTTTACCTCATATTGTAATTTATAGAAAAATTAACTAATAAGTATAATATCATTTTACTTGATATCACTTGTAAGTTGTCAAAATTGTGAAGCATATAATGCTATTGATTAATTATCTTGTTACAAAATATGGATCTTATTGGTTGCAACACAAATTGCATCATGTTCTCTATATATGGATCAAAACTTTGCCAAAAAAAGCTTCAAATTATCCAATATTGAATCTTGTCATTCAAGAAATGATGAAAACCATGATAATGCTGAACTTGAGAGGAATATATCAATGAATCTAACTTGTGATCTTGGAGTTGAAGTTTAATCATAAGTTGTACTTAATTGATAAATCTTCAAAACTTGGATATTGTACCATCAAACTTCTTAGGCAATACAACCCTTGGTTCTCCAACATTAGAAGGATGTTCCACCGTATGAGAAAAGACATGATTTGGTACAGATATTGAAGCAGCTAATCATTTCTATATCTTTGGTTCTTTCTATTTTTGTTGCTCCATATGGTGGTAAATTAAGTTGATGCATTGCAAGTTGTAACTCTCTTAATTGTTCTTGCATTTGCCTATTGCACTTTTCATTTCAAGAAGCTCTGCCATGATATTACTTAAAAAAGGGAAGATGTCTAATATTGCTCAAGACAAGTAGAAGAGAAGACTTGAAAACAAAGAAAAAATACTAAGGACAATATCAGTTTAGAAGATGGTAATCTGCAACTCTTAATATGCTTAAGTCTTATTAAGAAAAAGAAATAATTTACTCTTAATTAAAAAAAGACAAAGCTCTAATATTGTAAGTGTATTCTTTTCAATCTGTCAAGGGCAAGAAATCTATGAAAGCAAATAAACAAGTGAGACTCTCTCAAAAAAATATGACGAAATAGAAATAGAGATGTATATTAAAAAAGAAATTGAAGTGGCTATTGCCAAAAGACAAAGAAACTAGAGACTCTTGAAATTGGACTAGAAACAAGAAAGGAGTTAATAAGAATGAAGAAGGCTCCATCTTGTCTCTATGTATACTATTTATCTAAGATCTCTGTGACAGTATTCTATAGGACCTCCAAAAGCATGTTGACTTTGCATGACGCATGTCTTAATTTGTAAGTTTTCTATGTAAGCACCATATAGTTAGCTTGTTTTGCAAGCTACCAATACATGTATCACATGGTTATCTTTTGACCAAGTTTCTAACTTATCAATCAACTACAAACACATGTAAAGTCAAAATAGCATTTAAGAAGCTTCTAAGAAGTTTTTCTAAAAGATATTATGAAATTAATCTACTATTACATATTTCTATCTATTCATATTATCTATATAACAATTAAAATAGATGTATATCTATGACACAAAGTTTCTTCGTAATTTATAAGTACTTTGTATAGAATCCATTTTAATAATTTATAATATTTTAAATGATGCAATACTTCTAGGAGAATGTTAAATAGATCTAAGATTTTATTAAATTGATCCATCCATTCTAACCATCATTCAATGAAATAAAATAAATGACTTCTATATTCATTTCTCCACTATTGAATTTGAAACCAATAAAAACCAACCACATTCATCATCATATTTACCATATTTTTCATCATGGGTGGATCAATTTAATAGAAGCAAAATATAATAAAAGAAAAATAGATTAGATTCTCATACAATTCCAATTGGGGTTGTCAGAATATTAAAAACTCGACTCTCAACTACACATCGTGTTTTCTTTCTACGTAAAATTTAGTACTCTATCACGAAGCATCTTCAACATTTTGTCTTTCTTTCTTAGGTGTCGTATTCTCAATCCACCTTTGCTCGTTAATATAAACCCTAAATCCCTTCACAGCTCACACATGAGCAACGAATGCTCTCAGCCCGGAGTCGACGCAATCCACGGGAACAACCACCGAATTCATGATCCTCTGCCTCGCTTATGTCCCCGAACACTAACCAAGTTCAAGCCCTGAAAGAGAAAAAAATATGCTCGGTGACAACAACGCTCGAAGCCAACCATCCCAAATGGAGGATTTAATTCGCATACGGGAGCCTCTTCGACACGATTTAGAGCAGCATTGGAAAGCTTTTGGGAGGTTCAACTGCTGCTTGAATGCCAATCGGATCGTATTGGAAGAGAAAGATGGCTTAGCGCACAATCTTTCGCCTCCGGATCTGAAACCCTAAAGCCAGTTAGAATCAGAGCTCTGAAAGGGTTACGGAATTGAGGGGGAGACGGGTCCGCTGGTGTGGAGAGGGAGGGAATTTCGAACTGAGAAACGAGCCGCTGGATAGAGGATTAGGCCACAAAATTCCATAGAGGGGAACCCACCGTGTCGCAATGCCTAGAATCGGAGCCCTTCGCGAAGGCCCTCACACTGCCGAGGATAAGATTTCACGACACCTTTTGCACAGTCTCGAAATGGGCGCAAAGTGCTTTAGCGGAGGATGGCGCTGATCGGGGTTGGCCCCAATCGTGCTGCGAGAAATCGATGGCAGAATAGGTTGCCCGATTTGTCGTTGTGCTATCTGTACACCCTGGATTCGTTCATGACGTGCTTCCGCCTAGGGTTTGCCTCTTGCTGTGAAGTGCCGACGAAAGGTAGATTGTTTTCCATCCAAAAAAAACAAATTACATCATAAAGCACCAAAAGGACCGATGGCAAAAAGAGGCGTTGCTAAAGGAAAAAAATGATGTAAAAGTCGGAAAAGGCTCTGTCATGGTCCTTTGATGGGTCATTTTTACTTCTTAATTCTTTCTTTCTTTTTCTTATTTTTCCTGTCTGCTGGTATCGATGCCCCCCCCCCTCGTGGTGGAACAAAGGAATATATAAATATTAGAAGAAAAAGGCGATGTGAGAATGATTGTAACTTGAAGCTACTCAGAGACGGTGGATTTTCATCAATAGATGCCTTTTATGACTTTCCATCGTCGATACCTCAAAAACTTGATGAATGAACATCGCATTTCATCAACTTATGTGCCCTTCCGGAACGCGGAGAAAGTGAATGAATCGTTGAGATTCTGCCCATATATGAAAGAAAAAGCCTACATCTAAGTCTTTCTCGCTCTCTGTGAATGTGAACATGTTTGGTTAATTTATTATATATCACCCGACACCAAGTTTCTTGCCTTTAGACACCCACTTATCCTTGGAAAACGACTGGGTGGTCGAAGTCCTGAGAAATCTTTTTTTCAATTTCTAAAATAAAGTGATGAAAACGGCCATGTCCAGACGGCATCATCTCGTAAGCTCAATCTCAAGCCCAAAAGTTAAAGCACGCATTCCACGAATGCCCATGAGCTGTCTCATTACGAATCTGTGCCTCTCAGCTTTATTTTATTGATTTGTTACCGCAGGTGAATTTCTTTTCATTCATCTAAAAGGTGTATGAAACTTCATATCTCTAAATCACCCCTGCAGCACACATTAAATGTTTGTTGTATAATGCGATCAGATATGATAGAGCAGCCACGTAAACAACTGAATGGATTTGTGAGGATGAAGTCGAGCATCGATCGCAGTTAGGCGAAGAGACGGACGACGTTGGGTGGAGCCGAATGAAAAAGGATAGATACCGGGCCAAGGCCTGGGTTTGGGAGTCCAAAAGGACGCTGTGGTTGTCAGAGATGGCCGAGAGTTGACTCCCTTGTGGATAAGCAGGTCTCGTTCTGGATCGTCATCGCCATCCTTTTCCAGCAATGGCATCGCTCATGAAAGCAAGTCTGGGAAAACGTAATTGCGATCGAGCTAAGATAGGTGCGGGAACATTTCTTACTGGGGTGCTGGAGCTACCACTCTCAGCGCGGTGCAATGGATTCCGTGTCGCTTCAAGCAGTCCAAAACCCAGTGTTTACATTGGTATCAATACTCTTCCTGTGAGGGTTGTGTGAATCGGGGAAGAAATGACGTGAAGAGCTCGTTGAGACCGGATTTACACCGCTAAATACCGTGTTAGTGAAAATGGGAGACTGCACCGGGGGATGAATTCGACCCCCGGGTGGGTATTTCTGTCTCCCCCATTGCAGGCTGTGGACATTCATCAGTTTCGGGAGCAGGCAAGAATTTCCGATCTAGGCCAGCTGTGCAGTTTCTGGGCAAATAATATCTCAAATATCCCACCAGCACTGTTGCTTTTTGAGTGTTCTTTTACTCGCTTTTATGCAAGGAAAAGCCTCTCGCCTCGGGAATGCCAATCTCCATCTAGTGCTTGTGCATCATTCGATCTGCACAGAAGAGGGCTTGTCTCGCTCTCCGCCTCCTGCAGCCATTCTTATCGGTACTGTACTTTTCGAGATTCAGCGCGCTTTCTTGATTGTCCACAAGGATATTTGTTGATAGAGTGGCACCATTTGAACTCCTGTGAAGTGGTACGGTTGGCATGTTGATGACAGATTCATGTGTAGACTGATCCAGGTTTATATTCCAAGAGTGTGTCTCTGAACAGTTGGAGTGTCTATCGTGTCTAGATTTTTAACCTCCGCCAGAAATGTCTGAGAATGTGTCGATCGAGCTCCGCAAATGCCTGAAACTCGTAGCTGGAGGTCGGACGAGGGTGAGCGAAGGATTAACGGCGTCCTTGCGGCCCATCATCTTCATGGTGACGAGCCAGTGAAGGTGGATAAGCGGGAGGATGACAACGGAAGTGATGGGTTGCTTCGCAGGGTGATGTGAATGTCCCTGGTCTCATTGGCACGAGCTCTTCGCTTGTGGACTCATTCCGGCAGTTGCGAAAACACCAACGCATTTCGTCTCAATTGTTCGCCAGGGCCTGGAAATGGGCATGGAAGCCGTGTGCAGCTCCAAATTCTTTGCTTCCAATGCCGTAACTGCCCCCACATTATCCTACCATATCTCTATTGACCTTGATTTTAAGGATGGTAGTTTTCTACGCCGTGCGAAGCGGTCCACGAAGATGGCAGCGTCGGAGGGAACAGGGCCACAGTTCAGGATTGTGAGACGCACGAACAACGTCCTTGGGTCAGCCGCGTCCTTTGGATGCGGTTTTACCCCGCCTCTCACCAGCACGGAGAGGTCCGAACCATGTATATGCAGAGCGAATTCTTCCGAGAGGTCGGGTCTGCCCGAACGGGATGATGAAGAGAAACAGCCAGACGCTGAAACTCAGCAGGTGAAGCGACAGGGAAGCTACACGGTGGGTCTCAGTTTTGGCTCATCTAACCCCGAAGCTGACGGGTTTCAGAGATCACCAGCGTCAGATGACAGGGATGAATTCTTTGCGAAGTTGTCAATGGCCCTCGAAGCTTCCCGTCTCGCCGACTCAAGAGCTAGCTCAATTTCGACAACTGCCTTCTCTGAAATCCCTGGAGATGGCTCTAGCCTTGTCGTCGGGCGTGACATCCAAGGGCCTAGTTCTGTCTCAAGCTTGGTGATTTCCACCATCCCATCCACCTCAGGTACCAATTTGTGTGGGCTGGGAGTGGGTGGTATGCAGCTCCCGCCTTCTATCAAGAAACTGAAGCGGCCTCCTAGGTTATCGCGACCTGCCAGAGGGTCTTCACAGTGCGCCATTAAGAGGGCATTTTCTTCCGTGGTCTACATGATCAAGGTGGTGCAAAGCCACGCTCTACAGATACGCCAGGCTCTCTTCTCGGAACGGGACGTGCAAGAGGTTTTGCATGTGGTGCATCAGGAGATGCACTCATCCTTTGTGTGGCTATTCCAACAAGTGTTCGCGTGCACACCGAAACTCATGGTGTCCGTAATGATTCTGTTGGCGAACTTCACCGTATTTTCGACAGGTGAGAGCGTTACCGCCATCGCCGCAGCCACTGAGACGCCAGCAGCGATTGCATCCTTCCTCTCGACCAACAGAGACACGCCACAAACGGTGTCGTCGTTGTTGTCTTCATCTTCGGATTCCAAGATGAGTTTTGGTAGTCAGGGGTACCTGATACCGGGGTTGGTTCAAGATTCTCCATTGTTTCCTCTCGCAGGAGCTGGCTCCGGTGGGAATAACAAGTCCCCCACCGTGCCAACGGCGGAGAGCTTCGACGGGGACGATGGCTGGCAAAATAACATCACAACCGATCAGGGCTATATGCTATCGAAGAAAGATTCCACGGTTCCTTTGGAGTTATCCCACATTACGGGTCCTGCAATCAAACCTGCTCATCAGTTCCAGGTGGAGCCTGAACACGGTAACTACGATAGCGTTGAACAAACTAATAAAAATGGCCATTCCAGATCACATCCCGAGCTGATGAAGGCATCGGTTGAAAGCAGTATGAAGGACATTATCCTTGCGAATGATTATGTGCAATTGGAGCAAGACACCATCCGGAGGCTGGTAGCCCCACTTGTGGCGCATCTCGAATCAGACAACTACGCGTGCTTTGACCGCACTGATCTGGAGTACCAGCATGCTCTCACCCAAGAGCCGTCTAGACCTCTTCTGCTGGCCAACTATGCGCAGTTCCTCTTCGTCGTCCGACGCGACTACGATCGGTATGTGTGACTGGTCAATTGCACCACTATCACTCAATTCTGACTTAGTTTTTTCAGCGAACTTGCTTAACTTTCAAACTTTTTTCTAGTGTTACTAAAGAGAACATACTCACTTGCTATGTCTGTCGGTGTCATATGATTCACAGAGCTGAAGAATACTTCCACCGGGCTGTGCTAGCCGACCCGCTGGACTCGACCATTCTAGCCCGATTTGCCAGCTTTTTGTGGCTGGGACGTGGAAATCGATCTGCAGCAGAGAGAGCCTACAAGGCCGCTATTGCAGCGGATCCGCAGAGTTCGTACCCTGCTGGAAGTTATGCACATTTCCTTTGGCATGCGGGTGATGGAGATAACTCTGAGACAATGGCCATGTAACATAAGGCGTCGTTGGAGTTCGACTACCTAGAAATCCACAGGAGAAAATTTCTCCAAGTTAGTGTAAATTGGAACGGTGAATAGAAGTGTAGCACTGATTTGTACAACTATCAGCTATACGAGCGTGTCTGAGATTTAGTGGGATTTGCAGCTCCAAGCACTTGAGCATCGTAGTGTACCATAGATGTTCTATTGCTTCTGTAAGGAAATGTGATGTATACATCTGCAAATCATCGTCCAGACGCTATCGTGCAGAGAGGTGAAACCTCGTTGTCGGTACTGAATTCTTTTTGTAGGTGACAGACGTGTAATCTCGTGCAATTCGAAAGACTACCCATGTCAGTCGCAATCCCGAGTGTATTTATAATCTAAAACACCGCTGCAACTAGTACCGCTCTCAAAAAAAACACCTTGTGCAAGTTACTTACATGTAGCAACACATTCTGTTCAATAATTCCCCAATCAACAGCCATTGAAGAATGTGAAATGTTTACAACCAAAACTGCAGTTACAGATAACTTTTTCAACAGCACATCTGTAATTCGTCATTTAGCTACCCTTCACAATACACACTATCAAAAGCTTTATTTCTATCTGGAACCTATTGTAACAATTTAGTACCTGCTCAATTACATCGTTTACAACCCTTCTCTTGCAAACATATTGCACTCCTACATACATACTGATGGCACTTCGTCGATATAAGCAATACTGTCAACATCAAATAACAGAACAATCTTTTCGATGTTCACTTGTCACTGAATAAAACGATGAATCCGAAATTATACAACGCATAAAAATTTATTACACAACCTTATCCCCAATCAGCTTGCGGCACCAAATTCGTAGCACATAAACTACATTATTAGATCTTTCAACCACCAAATTCGCATTTGTCACACCACCGGTGTTATTACAAATCATAGTCAACAAAACTATCATTATCTTTGCTTACCTTTCCAGCAGAAGAATCTACGCAATTTGAAGCCAGTGATATGATGTTTCAAGAGAAAGGTGTCAACCTGCCACAACTCACTGCAGGAATGCTTCCACTCGTTCTTTGAGTACTAGCCTTTATCTCTGGAGCTATACACTTGGAGATAAATGCACAAGCAAATGATCTTACCCTAATTTATCTATTTTGTCACACACCAGAGGAGAACCCACGATAACGAGACCTAACCACTACTATTTCTCCTCATTCACCTCATCAACTTCACATATATCACCAACACGATAGCCAGAATCAGCACCCCGATGATGCTTCCCATTATCCACTTGTTTCGTGACATCCGTCGAGACATCGAATTCAAGATCCGGCGACTCTTCCCAATGTTATCGTCGACTCCATGCAGCTGTAAAGCCAACACAGACATCAGTTTTGTCTCTTAAACCTGAAGGTGAAAGCCCGACCCTCAAACACACGCAATCTCTCTACGTATCGCAGATATCACATCATGCCTAGAGTCATAGTCATCTGATCACTATGAGCTAGGTTTATCACATTCCGATAGAACTAATAGTAAACCGTAAAAAATCTGGCGGGTGCAGAGAACGTACAGTGTTCTGGGCATGCAGAAGAGTCTGTCTCTGTGACGCGAGATCCTGGAGAATGGAGACACCAAGCTCCTCCGTTTCAAGTAGAGTCCGCTTGCTCTCCTTGATCCTCTCACCAGACTGATTCAGCCGTTCCGTAGACATCAAAAGTCTGCCTCTTTGGTCGTGGGTAGGCTGCACACATGATTCCAACTGCAATCGTAAGTCTCTGTTCCCGGACATATTTTAACCGCTTGCTTCTCGACTCAAGAATTAGAATTAATACCATTTAAATACAACTGGTCTTTACTTTAAGATCTCAAGTATGAGTACACACTGAAGGACGACCACCAAAGAATCAAACTGTATATACAAGTGAAGTAAGGTCAGGATAACAGCCAATGGTTGTGTGCATTAATAACAATGCTAGTTTAAGCTACCGATGAATCACTGAAATAAATCACAAGTACGCTTACATTAGCATGATTTGCCATTCCAGACTCCAGAAGGTCATCCCTGGCGGAAGCAGCATCAGTCGAAGCAGACTTCTTGACATCTCGCTTCAAGTTATTCAAATCGGACTTGTACTCTCTCAACTTGGCCAGTAATGCGGCTTTTTGAGTTGGAGGTAGGCTCCTGGCCTCCAGGTCCATGCGACGGATCTGCACATAAAAACTACTCAGTCCAAGTCTTTGCAGCATCCTCTTGACTACCAAAAGCACTAGCACCAACCAAAACCATACACCTTCTCAATTCGATAATTTAGCAAATAAGGAATAGAATTTTACGATATACAGCGATTGGTAAACTATACCATCATAAACTGCACATGTTGAAAACTCCTAATTGAAGGTACAAACTATCAAACCTCGCAGTCTCTAAACGACAGGCAAAGGTGAGAACAACGAATAGTAATGATACAACAAAAAAAAATTGTCTAGTCTGCTAGATAACCTAAACCCGATGATTGCGGGCTCAAATTGAACTCACACAACAGGTATTGTCGCAAGGGGGTTAAATGAACAATACCCTACCAGCGAATCTGCTTCATCGAGACCACTTTTGAGCTCCGTAAGCTTATGCTTCTTCTCTTCTGCAACCACAAATAACCCATATCATGCCACCAGAAACATCAATTTCTCTGCCGAGCCCACCAAATCGCAGCGAATCCCAATAACCCAAAACACCAGATCTCCAAACACATCCATTCTCCTTTCACAAGTTGAACGATTGCTTACCCCCGTGGAGCGCAGAAACGGAGGTGCACTTGCGCGAGAGATTCGCCGACAACTCGCAGTACTGCCTCTCGTAGCCATCGAAGACCTCACTCATGGTGGCGGTCGTCGCTGAATGAGCTCCTTTCGCCCCTCCACCGAAACAAACCAATCTACACCAGAAAGGAAGCGTCAAGCAGCACAGAGAAATCACACTACGGGGGGGGGGGGGGGGGGGGGGGGACCGGAGTTTTCAAAAAACCAAATAATTCCCCCCCCAAAAATCAAAATTTGGCGGGAAAGGGAAAAAACCTTTTGGGGGAAAAAACCCCCACCACCATTGGGCCAAAGAGCCCCCCAAACTGGAGGGAGAAATTTTCCCCCCCCTTTCCCTTTTGCAAAGGAATTTTTGGGGGCCTTTTTCAACGGGGGGGGGACCAAACCTCCACATTGGGGGCCCCCCCCCAAAGTAAAAAAATTTTTTTTAGTAGTTGGAATAAGAGGAATTTTCTTTCAAAAAAAGGGGGTGTTTTCCGGGGGGGGAATCCCAACCCCTTTGGCAAAATTGAAAAAACTGGTTGGACAAAAAAAGGGGGCTTCCCAAAGGGGGGGGGGGGAATGGGGGGGGGGGGGGGTTTTTTTTTTTTTTTTTTTGTT